AGAGCTTGTTTAAATCAGCTTTCCGTGAAAAATGGCACTGTACATTACGTTTCTGGGGCGAGATGACTCAGTGATTAGAGCGCGAATTTAATGACCGGAATGCCCCCGTTGACCTCTGTCTCTCGACTTCCCCTGTCTGGGTTTGGGCAACCTGGAAGTGTGCCAGCCCTTGTGCTTCCTTCGGGTGGCATGGCAACTAGGCACTGAAAGGGTGGACCATTCCTTTGTAGGTGAAGGAGAACCTGTAAGCTCATGCATACACCGATTGGTATGATCGTAATGGATTTTGTATGACACGACAGAGTACTCATCGCCCGACACAAGAAGCCCTAAACCACAGACGTTAAGTTTTGGAATCAAGGTAATCAGATCGATTATTACCGAGATCTAGAGATACCATATCACAAAAGACATACTTATCGGGTGGTTGGAACGACCTGCACACTTGAATTTGCTTCCAGTCACCTGGGCCGCTGAAAATTCAGGACGGGATTAGAAAGGAGACAGAATAGGAAGACGTAATGTACGCTTTAATCGTCTAATAACTGTAGTACATGAGCTGAAAATAGAGTAAGAATCACGAGTTAATGGGTTATGCAAATGTATGGGTTATATAGTCATGACAAGGGCTAGTGCACAAGGTCACGTGAACTTTACCGACCCATGAAGACTGTGTGGACCACCAGCTGACTAACGAGTGTACACCTGCGGCTGCGCTTGGTCAAACTAGATTTAGTATAAAATTTACAAAACTGTTGGCAGATTTAAATCATCTGGACTCTACCCTACCCGCAGTAGGTATTTTAAATCAGACGAGCTCGATGAGAAAATGTGAAAGTATGTTGGGTGGGATAATATTGACCAGATCAAAAGAAACGTTCTCTCCTGTTCAATGTAATGCGGTTTTGTTGTGAATTAATTTAGTTCCCATGCTTTTCATGAAGCGCCTGGCTAACATCTACTCTTTTCGGATTGGGTGAAATAGAGTACAGTCGTTTCGTCGTCCACCATCGCCCATTTTCAATCCTTAGGTGTTTAGCGGATCCACGTTCACCATCATAGTTGTTTGTTGCTGACATCAATAAGAGCTGCTGATGGTGATCATATCCAGTGTTTCACTTGGGTGTGGAGACGATCCCTGATAGAAGGCGTGACCTTTTCCCACTCGCCTTCCATATTGTTATTGTCACCGTATCAGTTTACCGCTGAATGACATCGTCCCAGAGCAACTTGATATTACTGAGATAGACACTTTGGACTGGACCCTACACCAACTGGTATATTCTCTGGTGAAACGAAACTAAATACATGCCCATATAATGCCATGGTCAGATTATAGTGGTGTGTTCCGGAAGGAACGACGGTCTCAAGCTGAAGCTGATAGCCACTTGGTCGAAATGAGACCACGACCGGTGGCCTCGAGGCAAAACGATGCCTTTGTTGAGATTTTGTACTAGCTGGGAACAAACAGCGCTCAGGACATAGCTGAAGAAATGGGGTGGACATCAGCTGTAAACAGACCACCAAAGTGGGTCTCTTCTGGACTTATTGTGTCGATCTGGGCATTCATATCACCTGTTAAAATCGCAGCACGTGTGGTTTTTGCTGACCTGAGCAGCCATGACCCCCCCCATAGGAGCCATATTTCTCAGTATCTGAATTGGCGTCTCTCGGGGCTTATACTGAAACAGCAAATGAACATCGTTTACGTCCTCAAGTGAGCTAGTCATCCGAACAACCCAAAGGCGATCCAGTGGGTGCTCTCACCCGTGGGGCTGAGCGTTTATGTCACGAGCCGCCGCAGAGCTGAGTGCGAGAAATTTGGTTTTGCCTTTAGTGGCTTGAAACTTCTGACCGAATGGGTACGCGTGTTTCGGTGACTCATCGTGCACCGACTGAAAGCCGAAGCAAAGTGTGAACAAGATTGTTGTATTCATACCCACGACAGTAGTAGTTAGAAGCGTCGTACAAAAACAATCGTGTTCAATAATCGTGGGAACGTTGAACTTTTCTGACATGATAATTCAGTTGCGTCCGGTGCGCGCTGGTGAACTAGGAGAGGTAAACGCTTACTTCGCATGTCTGTAGTTCAAATCCCAACGCGACTGATAAGATCAGATAGGAGTGAAACTCGAGTTCAGCGCTTGTTTGGTGTGGACTCACCGTGGTACGGGAGTAGGTCTGTTCAAAAGGCGGCGATGTGAATTCTACAGATCCCAAAACCTAGTGCAGCTGAACAAGAAGCTCCTGTTGCTTGATCTGACGGATATTTAGCTAACCGTTTGGAAAAGATTTTTGGAATTTACCAGAGGCTTATTTGGATAGTAAGCTTCTTTTTGGGCAATTTGATGTGATGATTTTTCCGGTCTACACGTTTGTCTACTTCATGATTTGTTCGCACTTCCTGGCGTGTACTAGTCCCGGTAAGTGCCACCGTGCCAAGGTGTGAATGAGACTAGGAAGTAATGGCTTGACAGGCAGATTAGCACAACTGTCCAAGCTCATTTCATCCAGACAGGATTTTCACATTCCTGTTTTTTTATATTCCTGAGTGCTGGCGCTCTTGGGGACTGAGTTTGCTGAGTTGTTCCGCACTTCCTCGTTTTGAAAGGACTTTCTTCTAGAGAACTTTTTTGGAATTTTCCGGCAGGGGGCAACTACTGTTACGGATGGCTCCGCTGAGAGGGGAAGAGCTCTTTCCCTGCAGCTCTCATAGGGGACCGGTCAAACATCCAAACTTTGTAGGAATGTTCTGTGTGTGGTGGGTAATTAGGCCGAATCACTTTGTTCGTTTGTTTGTTGTGTAAATTGTTGGTGCTTCGTGTTCCGTTCGAGCATTGGGATTGGTTTCAGCAAATCGAGTTAGAATAGAAGCGCAACCCGTAAAAAAGCACTGGCTAAAACGCATGCGACTGAACTGAAAATGTCCGATTTTTTGTGGAGGTAGAAGCGTTCGTCATCATAGACCATCGTAATTATATGAGCCACTCAACTTGTCCGGTTTCATATGTTACTGATCTCAAAGCCGAATCAAGTAGGTATGGTTTGGCGAATCATCATGGGGCAATCTACCGAGCGGCAGTGAGGTTGCACTCCAAAGTTCACTTTTCACCAAGGTTTATGAATACCCTAGAGAAGGCAAGTCTGTCAGCCAACCTTAGGGTGCAACGACCGGGATGCCGTGGTACGTGGATAGGTTCAACATTTCATCTGTTGCGAATGTGCAATCACTGTTTTTTTGCACACATTTATTGCTACGTGGATAACCTACTGATCTGAAACGGCAGACGTTAATATGTCTTAATATGGAAAATGTTTGGGACCGATTGGGAAGTCATCGTTTCAGAGGGGTTTGGTAAACAATCGGTGGATTTATTGCTGGGCAACGTTTCGTTTTTGACACAAAAGCTTCGTCAGGCCAAGTGAGTAAGTAAGTAGGTTGA